GAATTGTGCAGTGTTGTGCCCATTCTTTTATTCTGTCACCTGGAACAACAAATACAAAAATTGCAACTGTCTCCTGGCAGCCAAAACCAGAGAGTGTATCTGTGGGGCAGGGGAAAGCAAGGCACTGTGTCAAAGATCCAGAAGCACAGAACATTGTACGTTTGCTGTCATTCCAGTGCTGAGTATGTGCACTCTCTTTTCACCTGGGCCCCTTGCAAAGATGAGTAAGATTTTGAGCATGTGATTCCTTGTGTCAATAAGTATAAGCCATGTCCACTCTCAGTGCACAAACTGCATATCAGTCCTTGCATCAACGTGTCATTACTGGCAGTTCTGCTGAATGAGGTTTTGATTTGCATCTGCTTGTTTTCTTAGAGGAATGCATTGCATTTTTAGCACCAGAATTCATTTCCATGGCAAGTATGGAGTATATATGTACTAATAATATCTCAATACCTGGAGTAGGTACTATCTATTTGATTGTTACAGTTTCTTGTTTTGTGCTAATTGATGGTATCTCTGGATGTGTCCAACTTCTAGGCTGACTGTCATTTTCTCTGTCACTGTCTGAGCAGACATCTTCTGTTCAGTATTTTTCCCCTTATATCTGGGTTGTCCTTGTGGCTGCTCACATCACCTCTGTGGTGAAGAAAACAAAACTGAACAGTGATCTCACACTGGCAGTTATTTGTGATAGTGTAATTTTGTGGTTTACTGTAGTTCACCAGGAAAAGGAAATAAAACTGTCACTGCAATGAAAAGACTCATAAGAAGTTATAAGTCCTTGACAGTAACTCTTGCTCATTAGCTTTATTGCAGTTTTACTAAGAAAGTGTATGTCTGTCTTCATAGCTAGAGTTTCACACTGCTGCAGGAAAGCACTGTTGATTCTGTGATACATCTTCAGTAGAACATTAGGCAGCTGTATGAAGGACTTCATGATCTCTGTCTTCTGGTATTGCAAGACAAGTACAAAACTGCTGAGTTTTTACCTGTCAAGGGCAAATGTGTCAAATTATTGTTTGTGTAAACCCAAAATTGCTGTAATTCCTCCATGATTTCTCAACCAAACATTCAGGCAAGTGTAATGAATTTAAGTAACAGTCATCTAGATAATCTTGCCAGGAATCAATGTGGATCTGAAACTTGCTTTTATTTTAGGCAACTTAACTGCACTTTAGATGATCTTAATTTCTCCACTGTTGTCAAGCAGATCCCCAGCTGGACACTGTCTAAAGGTTTTTGGCATGTGACTTTTCTGTCAGTTTTTGGAGGTGAAATTGGAAAGGAGTTGCAGCAGTCAATGGCTTTATATGCTCTCTTTTCAATATTCAGAGTAACAATGTAATTTGATATTGCTGTTCAGATGTCTGTACTTGAAACAAAGTGCACGCACAGGTGGAATAGGAAAATATTTTCCTAAGGATACTATTCAGTCAGTTACTTCACCAGTAATTATAAAATTCTTTCCTCCACCAATGTCCATACATTCCATTTGCAGGATGTTTTCCATGGCAGCCTGAACTTCAGGAACCAGTCATACAATAATGCTATTTGATGATGTATAAATGGGATCCAGTTCCAACAAGAACCAAGACTGTAAAAAGACCATTTATTTCCATCTCTGTTGTGTATTTTACTGCAAACTGTTGTGTGAGAAACATTTTGTAGCCTTCAGTAGTTTCTGTGGATTTGTTTGTAAAGCTGAAGTTTGAAAGAATTGCAATATAAATACACATTTTGACAGGACATGATCTTGAATCCAAAGAATACTTTGTTGGCAAACCTCAAAGGGAGGACAGAAAGCAGTGACAGTCTTCTCCATGCTTTCCTAAAAGTCTTACCTCAGTCACAAGGACAAAAGGAAAAAAATACTGGATCTCTTTAACAACTGTGAACCAGAGAGCACTTAAAATGAGACAAGCTCCTTTCCAGTTCTTAGCATATTGAGAACTGTGGGATGACAATAATAGGATTGCAGCACAGTACAGTGTACGAGAGACTCCGAGAAAAAAGAAAAAACTGCAGCAGTCTGTGATGCAATATGTCTCTGTGATATTTATCACAAATTCTTTGTGCTTTAAGATGCTTTTTTTGTGATCAGTAGACCATATTCATGTGAAGGTGAAGATTCTCAAGTTTGGTTTTATGGGAAAATGGCCTACAGAACTATGCACAGAAAAATAGTTTATTATTTGACAGTAAAACTGGTTTCCATCCCAGTCACCTGGGAACATAATTCAGGATATATAGCCCTGACTTCTTTTCCTTTGTCTTATATAAGATATTGATATACTTAGGTAAAAGATTGGTAAATATATTTATGAACCACCTTATATAGGACATTTATTTCTTTTTCAGCACTAGGAAGAGAATGTCAGTGATAGTTCGCACACCATCAGGAAAATTAAGACTCTACTGCAAAGGAGCTGTGAGTTTTGTTTTCCTCCTAGCAAACACGTACTACCAGTACAAATATGAAAGCAAAAGGTTTTTTATAACTGCAGTCAAAACATTGAAAATGTGGGGAAAGGAATGTTGATGCCTCTTCTAGTTGACATCATTTTGCTGTGTAGCTGTTTAATGTGATGGACTAGTTAACAACTTGTTTTGCTAACTGCCTGTTGGTATGACAGACCTCTTCATCCTGTTCTTTGTATTGGACTAATGCTTTTAATCTTCCTGTTAATTGCTTATTCCCTTCAGAAGGGACTCACCTAATACAATTACCCTTCTTTTTTCTTTGTAACTGTGGTAGTAATGAGTCTAGAAGATGGGGTGCAAGCTGGAGATCCTCCAGGTGGATCTTCCTTTTGACTGTCCTCTGCCTGAAAATATACAGTTTTATATATTCTTCTGCCAATTTCCTACATTATTTGCATTGTCTATGCAAAAAACTTCAATAAAATCATTGTGAATTGATTTCATTTGTTTTCTAGGATACTGTAATATATGACCGTCTTGCTGAAACTTCAAAATACAAAGAAATCACCTTAAAACATCTAGAGCAATTCGCTACAGAAGGTGGGTGATATTACTCAATAATAAAATAAATAGGAATTTCAGTTACTGCTCAGCTTTTCAGTTTTTCAATTTTATGTTGTTGTAGTGTTTTACTCATGTTAAGTCTGAAAATGAAGTTTTAGAAATGCCTCCTTACAAAAGGTCTCCTTCTTCCTGAGGTTTCAGTAATAAGCTCATGCCTAAAAAAACAGCCAAAACAACCCAACACACCCACAGAGTACACAGTGGAGTCTTTTAGCCAAAATGTTTTTTTCCAGAGAGCAAACACAATGCGCATTATTTTTTCTGAGAAGATCTCATTTGCCATGATTGCTTTCATGTCCCACACACAGTGAATGCTGTAGGGATGGCACACAGGAAGAATTAGCCAAAGTGAAGATGCTTGGAAACAATTAGTGTAGTGCTTTTAAGGTAACTTTATTCTGTATTGTTTCTGTCACCAGTCCCAATAAGGGGAATTGCCAGCATTCCATGGGCTGGGTTTTGGTATCTCTGCTGTTTTAATAATCACTTTTACAAATAGTTGCCAGAGGTGGGGAGCCCCTCTGTAAGGGTTTGTGAAGTAGGAATAATAAATTTAAAAGACTGTGAAATGAAGATGATTGATCCAGGCAGCCAGTGAGTTATTTTGTAGCAGTGGTTTGCACAGTACAGATGGGAGCAGAAAAGCACTGTAGAAAGGTTTCTGCAGTCATGTAAGTTGTTCTTAAGCACATTCCCTAGATCTTCCATGCCATCCCCCCTTCCAGGTATCTTAGGAAAGGATTGCAGTATTGTACTGTGCAGTATCAGTGTTCTAATTTATTAGTGAGTTGGGAGAGAGTAGTTGGAAGCAGAATTGCAGTAGTTAATGGTAACCTGAACTACAGGTTTTTTACCTCTTCAGTTTTTTATTACACTGTCACTAGAACATTAAAATGATCTTTAATGTGCCTGTTAAGTGCTTACACTGGAAAGCAACTTCATAAAAATATTTTCCCTCTAAAATACAATCCTTACCTTTTGTTAACTGATGTCTGACCCAATATTCTTATATCAGTAAAGATCATTTTTCTGTCACATGTTTGACTTCTCTAGTTTTTGACTTTTGGTTTATAATGGAATTTAGAGTTTTGATGAGTGTCTTCAGCTTCAGTCTATTGATTCTGGTAGTGACAGCAGAAGCAAGTCACACATCTTTTATTTTGTTAGTTTTTCATATTAAGATCTCTGCAGGAAACATGTAGTCTTAAATAATCTTAAAGTAGTAAGTTAAACTTACTACTTAAAGTAGTAAGTAAACTATACAAAAACGTTGAAAGCAGAATTAAAACAAATTTGTCTGATGCTACAAGTCAAAACCTCAGATACACACTGGGCTTCTGTAAAGGTTTACCCAGAAGTAGTGAAGGAAAGGTTACTTAGATGTAAATTTAGTTTAGGTCATAGGGCTGTGTGTTTGGTTACAAACAAGGTAAAAATAGATGGATATTTGTGATCCTGTGTGAATTGATGCAAAACTTTCAGTCCAGTTCTTAATTACTCTTTTCATTAAATCAGTCATGCAACTCCTAAGCAGTCAGGTTGGACCAAAACTAATCAACATAAAAAGTGAAGAATTCCACCTGTCTTTAGAACCACTGTACATACGTATGAGTGTTGAGAAGTTTCTTCAAGTACTTTTTGTATTCTTCTTTTCAACAGATGAAAAGATTTACTGTTCAGAAGAGTGAATTGCTAACCTTTCAAAAGCATAAAATTCTGTCTTTAAAAAAAAAGTACATATCTCTGGAATTGATTAAAAAATGGGTATTTATTTTTGCATCAGATTTAAGTTGCAGCCAGTGATGTTCAGAGGTTCTCATGAGTATCCTTTCATGTGGCAGTACAGTATGTCCTTGGCATTTGCTGCATACTCTTGGTGTGTTGTTCAAAAATGAAGTGGTTAGCATGGCTGGCATTTATATGTAAGCATTTATTAAGCTTGAGTGTTAATTTCTGCTTGGATAAATAGAAAAAGTGTGTCATTTTCCGGTGTTGTCCCAGTCTGTTAAGAAGCAGGCTTCAGACTTCAGGATATTTTGTTTTCCACTTTTTATTTGGAAGATTTTTCTATATTGCAATGAAAGGAATCTTTTTTTAAAAAAAAATTAGAAAAAAATGAATTAGTCTGTTTTTTAAAAAGAGAAAGCAAATGTCTTGAAAAATTTGTGCATTCCATACACTTGTATTTCTTTTCTTCATTTTATCCTCTGCAAAAAATAAATTGAAAGAATTGTTTACAATTGAAGGAATTTCTTAAGGGTATTGAGGAGGGGTGAAGAAGAGTGTGGTTGTAACATTATGCTGATGTATTTTAACTTATATTTTAATTTTCAGCATAGCAACATTTAAGTTTATAAAATTTTTGCTCAGAAATATAATTCAGTCTTATAGTTTTAATATTCATCCTCTGCAAAAAATAAATTGAAAGAATTGTTTACAATTGAAGGAATTTCTTAAGGGTATTGAGGAGGGGTGAAGAAGAGTGTGGTTGTAACATTATGCTGATGTATTTTAACTTATATTTTAATTTTCAGCATAGCAACATTTAAGTTTATAAAATTTTTGCTCAGAAATATAATTCAGTCTTATAGTTTTAATATTCCTAAAAATGTACATGCCATTTTTTTTTAGCAGGTGTTGAGATGGCTTCATGTTTTGTTTACAGTTCTAAGTCAGATCTTATGTACAGTTTGATTATTTTTCCCTGCAGTACCTCACCTGTATTACATTCAGATACTTTGAAACCGTTACTCTGTTGAATAAATTTCTATTTACATCACATTTTTACTTTATAAGTATTTTAAAAGTTCATCAAGATGTGCAGCAGTAAGTTGAAAATCAGGCATAAGCATAGATAAAATACAAAATAAATTCAGCTTTTAGTAGTCACTCATTGCAGGCATATCAAGGAAGGAAGGGACTAACAAATACTGATCATATTTACTCTCTGCTTCCTCTTTAGGCTTGAGAACTCTGTGTTTTGCTGTGGCTGAGATTTCAGAAAGTGATTATCAGGAGTGGTTAGATGTCTATCACCGTGCTACTACAGCCATCCAAAACAGAGCACTCAAACTTGAGGAGAGCTATGAACTAATTGAAAAAGTATGTGTGGCTTTCTGGGCTTTGGGTTGGTTGGGGGGGAGAGTGCAGAGTGGGCAGAGGGGATGAGCAGGAGTGTGGGGTTTTAAGAATTATCCTTGCTTTCTATACCATGGAAGTGAATCATTATTGAGAAATAATGCTTAGACAGAAAAGGTATCTAGCCATGTCCTGACAGGTGTGTCATGTAGTCCTTGCAAAGTCCATGTGACAAAGTCTTTGCAGCAAGTAACTACTTTGCTAGAAAGTGTTGGTTTTTTGCAAGTAACTACTTTGCTAGAAAGTGTTGATTTTTTTTAATTGAACTACTGGAAAGCTTTTTTCCAGAGTTGCTCTATGGTGTAAAACAGTCATAACAAACATTGCTTCATTGCAGAATAATCTTAGAGCCATAGAGTAGTCAGGGTTGAAAGGGACTTTTGGAGGTCATCTAGACACAAATCCCTGCTCACAGCAGGGTGAGTTTTACAGTTTTTCTTGCCCAACATTTTGAGGAAGTTTCAAATATGTATAAGGAGGGAGTTTTCCCAACTGCAGTAGGTAATTTTTTATTTTTTTTTTTTAGTGCACAGCTGGTCTTTTTGCTCTTTTTTTTGAGTTAACATTTTTATTGCTGCAGAATGTGAGTGTTGCCTCTTGCCCTTTCACCATGCATCTTAGAAGAAGATGCCTTATTTTTTCCCATTTTAAACTCATCCTGCTTCTTCAGACACTTTTAATATACTGTGCTGTGGGCCCTAAGCTATTTTTATGTCCCTCTGCTGGACTTGCTCTGCTTTGTCAACCTGTCTTGTACCAAAGGCCCACAAAGGGAAGTAATGCCTAGATACAGCATCACAGGAGCAGAGCTTTGAGTTTCCCTTGGGTTTCTGGCAGTGCTGATGCTGGAGCAGCCAAGCAGAGTTAGGCTATACTGCCTCAGCAAGACTAGCTCCCATGGCTCCTAAATCTGTAAGAAAAAGTAGTGCATGACACCTGTAGTGTTTGAAGTTTGGGTACTTGAATTTTGGGGTAGGTTATTTTGGTTTTTTTTCCTTGGAAAGGATCAGAGATGGCATTGATGAAACTGCTTGAAATTCAGCACCTCAAAAATCTGCAGCATTTAATTCATGAAAAAGAAGATTGAAGGTATATAGCTTCAGTCACTCGTGGGACTTCAGTTTCCATAGATGAGCAGTTTATCCAGATGTGACAAGACAGACTTAAATCTATGTAGCTTTTTAATGCCATGACAGCCCTGCTAGCATTACAAATTTTTGTGTTAGCTGTACAAGGACTTTTTCAGTATGCAGGCCATGCTACAACCAGGAGTGCACACTGTTAGTTTATATTGGTGTCATCAACAGGATTTTAACTAGTTTTAAAGGTACAGAAATAGGCAGTGTAAAAATGGCTGTATTCACAAAAACTGTGTGGATTTGCTGCCTAGGAAGTTAAAACCAAACAAAATCAATACTGTGGTTTTAAGATGAATTGACAATTGGTTTGTTTGGGTTTTTTTACAAATTGAAGAGGAATCATTACAAGAGAGAAGGCATAATAAAAGCACTCCTTAAGTCTTCAAATCAGAGAGGTGCCCCTCAGGAAAATAACTGTGGCTGAACAAGCTGCTGAGCTTGTGTATAATTGGGTGAAGTTTGAGAGATCACACTGTGCAGTTTGTCAAGCCACATAGATATCTAAGTTAAAGCTCATAGGAATAAACTGCCAGGTTCTTTAATTGTTGATACCAAATCTGATTAGCTTAGAGAGCATGAATTTTGTCTTAAATATGGAAAGTTGAACAAAGGAAGTGGAAGATTAAAACTGAATTTAAACCAAAAAATAGCCTTTATGTATGGAATATTTTATGTTCACAGAATCTTCAGCTGCTTGGAGCAACAGCAATTGAAGATAAACTACAAGACAAAGTGCCTGAAACCATAGAGACACTCATGAAAGCAGACATAAAAATTTGGATACTTACTGGGGACAAACAAGAGACTGCCATTAATATTGGTATTATATTTGCATCTATTTGATGTCTTTGTTGTAGGTTTAGAAATAGTAGAAGTTTCTGGAGTAAAATTGTTTTTAGAATAAAATGTTATCTTGTGAAAAATACGGATATTTTATGGCATTCCAGAGTTTGAATGTTAACTTTTTTTTCAGTCACTGGCAGAGGGAGAGTGGGGAGTAGTAGATTCTTCCTCTGTTAAAATAGTAACAGCAAGAAAAATCCATGTTAGAGGGGAGGACAAAAATAGGCATTTGTACTTTTTTATAGCATATAAAACAAACTTAAAAGAATTTATTGTTTGGCTTTTGACAGTGAAAGAGAATAATAAGAAAACTTAAGTACTATTAGTTTCTCTTCTGTGTTTGTCCTTTCTTCAAAGAAAGCTGGTAGGGAACATAATCTTACCTAAAGCAAAACAATGCAGATGGTCCATTAAATTACTATAAACTTTATCATTAATCAAATGTTTCCATTTATTTTTTATTTTTATTATGAAGGGAGGAAATGAAGACTAATTTCACAATGATATATATGTATTTTTAAATAGTAATACATGAAAGCTGCTTTTAAGGTTTAATATTCTTTGCATGTGACCATATCAGCACTTTTGCTGTAGCTTAGATATGTGCCTATAATAAAGCCTTTCTGTAGTCATATGGATCCTTTTTATTGCTGTTATTAGTTCTAATCTTAAAGAACTTTCTGTATGCACATGATACAGTTGATCTGTTATTTTCAGTAGTACCTTCAGGTTTGAAGCAATACATGTAATACCAGTGTGTTCACTTTATTATGAATTGGGACATATGTTTTTGTCTGGGCAGCATCATTAGCACACAACATAGATTCCATTTAATGCATCAGAGAATAAAAGAAAAAAAATGGGAACATGTATATATGCAAATTCTGTATGAAATAAAAATTGCAGTCCAAAAATTGGCAAGACTAAGGGAAATGTGTTATTTTCTCTATCTTCCTGTAAAGCATCGCTGAATAAGGCAGAACAGTCACAAGCTGCAGCCAGGGAAAAATGCTCTGTTGTATTGTAATGGATTTTGTGGAACAGATTTTTGAAAACAAATTTTTTTTTTTAACAGGTCACTCCTGTAAACTTTTGAGAAAGAACATGGGACTCATTGTTATAAATGAAGGCTCTCTTGATGTAAGTAAAATCTGCACAGTTCTCAGTTGATGAAACATTATTTAACTGCTTAAAATATCCAGACATCATGGTGGAGGTGTCCTAAAAAATAGCTTGGAGCATCTGGAGAAACAGAAAATTCTGCTAAAACCATGATTTGGGGAGGTGTCAGTTATTTTTGGTTTGGGGGACTTCTCTTTTGTTCTTTGTTATAATCTTCTCAGTTAATTTTAGTATTCTGTGATTGGAAGACCTTATGGGCTTTGTGATTTTGGAAGGTGTAAACTGCTTCCAATTATTCAGTGATATATTATCACAGTGTAGCTATTGCACAAATGAACTTCAGAACATTGAGCACATATTCCATGGAGTAGATTTCATCAGTGCAGGCACAAAGCCACGAGCTTTACATGCTTCTAGTAGCATCAATATCCAAAACACTATTCCAAATTCCTTTCTAATATTTCTTACAGAATACTTAGTATCTGCCAAAAGTTGTTATTGTGTGATTAAAGAGCTGAAATTGCAATCAGGTATTGAAGTACAGGTAAGGGTTAAAACTACCAGCTTGGAAGGATACAGTGCTTTGCAGAGAAGAGATTATTTAGATAAGGTTGGAATGCAATATTAAGTGAAAAAATCCCATGAGGGGAAAGGACTTAAATCCTTCTACCACTCTCTAAGGGAGACTTAGAGATGAACTTAGGAATGGAAGAATTTCCTCAGTGAGAAAACTCACTGTCCAGAAGGCTTCAGGAGGAAATCCTCTAATGAAGTTTGTTACTCTACATTGTGGTCAGGTTGCTCAAGATAAGACTTAAGGAGAGAAAGTGAAAAGGAAGTTTGAGAGTCATCAGTAGTGCCTTAACTGAAGGATTCCATGGTAGCATGGAAGAATAGCCTATGGCATGAGTTAAAATACTTACTGGGCTTTTTAATAAGTATTTATTTAAATGTTTTGACCCATTTAGAATTACACATTTTCAGCATCAGTTAGTATGAATTTAATCATGATGACCTTATTCCAAATACAAATTTGAGCGACCTATTTTTGCTGATAACATTTGAAATTAAATCCCAAATTCAGGACAGACAGAAGCTGTTGATTAATGTCTGGAACCAGAGTCTGTTGATGCAGTAAGCAACTTTTGACACAAGTAGCCTGTGATATTAATGCAGAGAGGAGATTTTTCTTTTCTTAGTTTAGTTCATCAGAGAGCTTTCGAAAGATTGCAATCATTGTTTGCTTTAAAAACAGGGAAAGTTTTTGCATTAAGCCCTTAACTTTGCCTTTGATTTTTTTTTTTCACTCCCCAACAAATCTCTCAGTAAAAATTAACCTATACAAGTAAGAACTTCTATATTTAGCTTATTTGCAAAGATTACTGCATTTCAGAACTGCTGCAGTACTTCATAGGTTTGAAGTGCAAAAGATTAACAACTTTGTAGATTTCTTCATATGTAATGCAATAAAGTGAGGTACTAAAAGGAGTCAGATAAGAACTCTTTAAACAAGCATTACACGTTGATCAATTCTAGTATCATTACTAAAAAGTTCAATAAATACCTATTAAGCAATATATTTTTAAAATACATGTATATAAATACAGTTTAAGAATGAAAGATAGTAGCTGATAAGAGAACTGCACTGTAGTCCATAATGCAAACTGAGGTGTCTCAATTGTATAGAGATTGGGAGATCCTTTCCCTGTGTGCCTGAAGCACATTCAGAGTACCTGGGGATGCAAATATCTTATGGCAGCAGAATTTCTATAGGCAAACTGGTCATTTGCAAACCTGTTTGTGGCAATAACATATATCATGGGATTTTTCAGTAGTAGGTAAATCTAGTAATCAGATAGTTGAGAGCAGGAGGCAGTTAAAAAATAATAATAAACTACATCTACAAAAATATTTAAACAAGACTCCATTTAATGTTGTCTGCCTCATTTGATGGTGCACATTTCACTGCTTGATTAATGTCCTACCCTTTGCTTGCTGATGTGGTTTGAATCACATGTCAGTCTCTATTTCTAGTGTGACTGAAAAAAAAATGGCCTTGAAAGTTGTGGTGGAGGAGTGGATCAGGTCTCAGGAAATGAAGAGGGGGTTGAACTGCTGTCATTGCAGAACCTCAAGTCAGTGCAGCTGCAAGGGTGATTTTTTTGCATTCCAGCAACAGTTGGCAAGAGGCTGTAATATTGGAATATTGTCTGTTAAGGAATATGGCTGAAACTTTGGCTTCTGAACAGCATAGGTCCAACTCTTGTCCTGGGACTCTGTACTCCCGTGAAGGTTGTTGGACAATTCAGTTTCCTCAGCACAGGAGGAGCTGAGTAACCATGAAACCTTGAAGAAAATAATCCCAGTGTAATGAACCTGTGCATTTAGGGTCTTCTAGAATCTGTGGCAGACTTTCCTCCCTGTGTCTGTAAAGTATAGCCTCAGCTATATAAAGGTGTTGATAGATTTATAGAATTTAAGAAGGTTGGCTTTTCTTGGTGTGCATACTCTCCTGACAAACACTGAAACACTAGGCTGAAAACAGTGGCAGTAAGTGGATGCTTCTTGGCCTTGCTGTTAAAATAATAGTACATGTCCATTGCATACCAGTGGCTTCTCCTATAAAGTAGCTAGCTCAGCTCTAATCCTTTTGTGGACAGGCTGAATCCCCTTTGCCCAAGACACACAAAAACAGTTTTAACAAAACAAATACCTCCTCATTGTGGCCATTGTTATGACCTTAGCATGCAAGATAGAGGAAGTTAGAGTAAAAAATATATTTGTCCAGACTCTATCACAGCTCTGTGAACTGAGTTTACAAAGAATATGCTGAAATAAAGATCCTCTTTTATATGAACCAATACTCTTTTGTATGAAATTAAAAAAAAAATATCCCAAACCCACCCAGCTCCCCACTCCCCAATAGGTATTGGCTGGTAGAAAACTGAAAGCATTTAGATATCTCTCTTTTTGCAGCATAGTTTGCTTTGAGGCTTTACTCTCATGAACATCTGCTTAGCTTTACAAACAAAATGTGGGTTTTGTTAGTAAGTTCTTATAGTTGCATAAAAGAGCACTGAGTTTTATTTTGCCTTCATATTAACCTATTGGGCTGCTAAATTACAGTATACTACTGTTATTTAGAGACAGAAGTCATAACATAGCCTTATTCTTTTAATTGTGAACTTGAACGAGAAAACAGTTTGATTACCATTCAGTTGCACTGAGAAGTACTTAATGGAAATGGTATCAAGTGAATAAGGGACATTTTTATACTGTTTTTAATTTGAGGCCTGAGATTTCAGCATAGGGAATAAGCTACAAAGGAATCTTAAATATTACAGTTTTACAGTTGGGGTGTTTTGTTTTGTCTGTGGGAAACGATGTTAAAGGCTTTACTAAAATCCACCCAGACATCCACAGGCTTTCCCTCATCCATGAACCAGGTCACTCTGTCACAGGAGGAGATCAGGTTGGCTTCTAAATTCAGTATTTTATAAGCAGGTGTTTTTTTCCATCTTGATGTTATAATTGTTCTATTACGTTAAACTATAAATTTAATGTGATAGAATTATCAGTTATAATGCATCTACTTCTGATTTATCTCTGTTTCCTGTAGTTTTTTCTGAACATTTAGGACCATTTTATATAATAGCAAATGGAAATTGTTTCATCTGGTTTCTATATATATGTGAATCTTCTTTTGCATAGGCATATGTAAAACTTATTTCATAATGTCTTTTGGCAAATATTTATACAACTATTGTTGTCATTCAGAGAGCATTAACTTACACACACTTTTTTTGGGCCAAGTGCAAGAGCCATTGGACACACCATTTCGACTGTGGTTTCTAATACACAGCTGTTGCAAATATTCTTTTACTTTAATAGTCTTTGCTAGCACAATCAAAAGACAATTTCCACAAAATGAAAATGGAGTGTTTCTGATCACACTGGGAAAAAAATGGACTTAAGAATAGTAGGAATGCAAAATAATGGACACAACGGGGTTTTTTTGTGCAACAGGGAACAAGAGAGACACTTAGCCATCATTGCAGTACTCTTGGTGATGCTTTAAGGAAGGAAAATGACTTTGCACTCATCATTGATGGTAAATCTCTGAAGTATGCTTTGACATTTGGCGTGAGACAGTATTTCCTGGATTTGGCTTTGTCATGTAAAGCTGTTATTTGTTGCAGGTAAGGTTTATGTTGTTCTCTCTCTCTGTGTTATTGACATATGAAAATCAAAAAACTGAAGTGATGAAATGCAGTCATTCAAGCAAAATATCTCTGTAGAGCAGTTTGCAACAGAGCATACCTGTCAAAGTCATTCGGATGCAGATTTCCAGAAAAATCATTTGTAATCCATCGAGGGTAGTCTCAGCAAGGTTGATTCACTAGTCTTGAACTTGAATGGGTCCTACAGTTAACTGCAGGTTTCAGCACATCTGCATTCTTTTGTAGATCTTCCTCCACAGGCTACTTTTCTGTCAGATCTGGTTTGCACTGTGTAAGGAGTGCACAAAAATGTTAAAGGTACTACACTGGGTACTTTTTATTTTCTGAAGCTGATGGAAACACCTTTTTTGATCATTATTATGCTTGATTGTTATGGGGTTCCCTTATACAATCAAACCTTAAATTCTTTTTTTTAAATATCAGCTATTAGAGCTCTAAGCTTCCGTTGTTCCAATAAAATAAAGCAGATTCATCTGAAAAGCCTGTTCCAAATGGAGCTGGTTTCTGCCTTGAAAAATGTAAGGGAAAAGCAAGTAAGGTTATAGTACCCAAATAATCACCTGGTTTGTAGTCTTTGCATTCTTAAGCACTGTGTTATGCCACCAAGGGCTTTTTTAATTAGTTAATTTTTTTTGTTAAGCTTTGTCGCCATTCTTCAGCCTGAAACACTCTGAATTTCAGACTAATGTCTTACTGTCTTTTAAACTGAGATTTTACACTGATACACAGTTTATATTGTGTATAAACATCTTCCTCATTGCAATAGTCTTTCTGTCAGCTGCTTGTGTTTTGCTCAGTGTAGTAACAAGCAGGAGTTGCATGCAGAACTGCTCTTCAAAACTGTGTCTCTCTTTCTTCTCTTTATTCAATTTCAAAATATATTTTATGCCACTCGAAGATATAATATTGCTGTTCTGTTGAACTGTAGAACCATTGAAGGATATTCTGTACATTTGTCTTTTAGCGTTTGCATTTTTGTGATGAAACAACGAAGTGCAAAATGAAAGTTTCTGTTCTAGTAGCATTCTCTGCAATTTCTGCACTTCCATAATATACTTTAGTCAGCTGGTTTCAATACATACCTAGATATATGTTCTGACATACTTTGTGGTTGTTTAAAAATTGGCTACAGTTTTCAAACTAAAATACTTGCTTGTAGCACTCACTGTTTTAGTGTGTACTTTTTAAATATCACATTCTTCCCAAAAGTCAAAATTGTGTCAAAATATTTTTCTGTTAATGCTCCATCTTTAGTAACAAAAACTTCATTTCCTTATTTGTGAGCTTGAAAATAAAAAAAAATAGATAATTTTTATTAAGTAAATCCCTTAGATATATCTATAATATAAATACATACAAATGTCTAAATCATCCTGACTAAACAAAAATGTAGGCCTTTTCTTCATCCATATATAAGTAGTAAACATTTTAAGCTCTCCTTGGTTCTAAAAGGAAAATTACATCACTGTCTGATAAGTTTTCAGACTCTATTCACTTGTTCAGAAGTATTTATTGCTAATACATTCTTCCTAAGACTAGCCATAACACAGATGAAGCTGACAAATATTCAGTAAACTTTTCTTCTCAAAAAAAAAAAAATAAAAAAAATCTACGTTACTAATTCCAAGCAGATGTTTGGCTTAAAGACTTTGACAAACTGAATTCCAACTCTGCATTGGTTTGAGAGTAATGTGTGCAAGAAGAATGTTAAATGGATTATTCTGTAGTAAAAATGTAATAATTTGACTAATGTATACAGTCAAAGAAAGATTGTATTTCCTTTTAGGTAGCTTGCTTTTATTATTGCCCTCGTTAGTACTGGTTTTATGCTCTTAAAAATCAATCTGTATAAATAGGGCAGTATTTTTTTTCCACATTCACTTACTGGATTTGATAGAAGTCTTTGAGCTATAATTCTTCAAACTAGAAAAAAACTTGTCCATCAGGAATCTCATTAATAATACAACAGTATTATTTTCTCAATTATGATGAGGCTTTCCAGTTTTCACATAGCAGAATATTGTCTTTGGGACCCTCAGCTTGCAGGAGCAGCCTTAGGACAGATGCCACAAAAATTTTGGTGTCTGGTCATAGCATTTCTTTCATTCCTGAGCTTGTGAGTTCTGTACAGCTGTCTTGGTTCAGGTGGGAACTGTGCTCATGGATTTGTCCCCTCAGTTGTGGATAGACATTCTCTTAATGACAGATTATTGGAACAGTCCTGAAAAGAGCCAGGGAGAAATTACCAATAGATTAAGTAGCAGATCAAGATGATCAAAGTTAATTCCTCTAATTTATCAGAGCAGGCTGTGTTAACATAGTGGCAGTCCACTCTTTGTGCCTGTTTGCTTTGACAACTGTTCGTTAAATATCTTCTTGTTTGTGTATAAAATACATATTTAAACAGGAAAATAAAAAAGCATAACAATAAAATATGCCAAAATTTGCAATCATTTTAAGTTAATACTGGTAGTGGCTGCATTTGGGGTTCCTTCCATTACCCTGTTTTAAGGGCCCCTGGATTGCTTTAACAAATCCAACTTTTCTATGAGTTTTGCTGGGAATGTGGTTTTAGCTTATAGGGCAACAAGACCATGTTGCTGACCAGGATGTTAGTTGGCCTGTTTTTATTACCTTATCACAGAACATAAAGCATGTTTTGAAAGTACATTAATTTGGAAGTCCTGTATTAAACTTGTTTCTTTGTGTTATCCCTTAGGGTATCACCACTTCAAAAATCTGAAGTTGTAGAAATGGTTAAAAAACAAGTTAAGGTAGTAACTCTAGCGATTGGTGATGGAGCAAATGATGTTAGTATGATACAAACAGCACATGTTGGTGTTGGTATTAGTGGGAATGAAGGTCTACAGGCTGCTAATTCTTCAGACTACTCAATTGCTCAGGTAAGTCATTACACTGCAAAATACTACAAGAAAGAATTTGAATATCAGATTAGTATTGGTATATGTATGTGTTGATTGTATGTATGTTAATTTTTCATGTTTTTTTTCTGCAGTTCAAATATTTGAAGAACTTGCTATTGGTTCATGGAGCCTGGAATTATAACAGAGTAGCTAAATGCATCTTGTATTGCTTCTACAAGAATATAGTCCTTTATATTATTGAGGTAATTTTCCAGTACATTAAATGTTACTTCTTGAAAGTAAAGACTTTATTATTTTGAACTTTTGATTGTTATATATGATTTTAAAGAAGCATTTAAGCTGTCAATAGGCAGTAGTACTGTATCTTGCTTTTTAATAAACTGATTAACAATAGTGATTTTTTTTTATACTTTTAAAACCCCAATTGTCTTAAAAAGATGGACTGAATACTATTACTAAATGTTTGTGTTGCATGACATTGCTAGTTTATTATAATTCTGTATCTATAACATCATTACAGTAATTAAGGAATACAGTTAAAGGTAGCTTAAATTTACCAGGAGATGTATGTTTAAGCTCTTTGAGTCAATGTTACATTTTCCCCTTTCCTTCATTTTCTTTCAACAGCTGCTTGCTTTCTTAGAACTGAGTATGTCTCTAGTATTTATGCTTATAATTGATTCAAACTTTATATTCACAGTGAATCTTTGGGTTAAAAATGTGGGGAAAAATGTTTAAATTTTTTGCAAAGCTTGATCACAAAGTAAATTTTATAGGTCAGTTTTATGTATTTTTACATTAATGGGGTTAACAGACATTTCTTAAACTTTCATAGGTTTTTCAATATATTTTCAAATTAGTATCTTAAACATGTACAGTGTATGTATTAGGTTTTACTGAAAGAAAATGCTTTATTTCTGGTAGATGTGGTGTAAACATTAGATTAATAGTTCCAATTTTGCTATTTATGTATGTGAACTTACACTGTTGCAGTATTTGAAAAATCTTCAAACATCTTTTCATGTACAAATGTGGCCAAAAGTGCATTTTTCTTACCATATTTTTACATTTTCTAAGTTTTCCTGTTTTCCTCTTTTTGTGCAAATAGATTTCAGTCTGAGTAGCAATGAGGTTGTAGCCCATTTAGAAAAACATAAAGAAGGTACAGAAAAAGCCAATTTATTACAGATCCTCTTGCTTTAGAAGTGATGATAAACTTTAGATCCTCTGTTTCAAAATCTGATATCTGTTAACATGATAAACTTCCAGAAGTACTGATTAGCAGTAGCTCTAGAAGTATTCGAAATAAACAGTATTAATACATACTTTGTGCTTATAAAAATCATACAAAGGTGAGATTTAGAACATACTAACTTATTTTTCTTAGTTCTCTGTTGTTGTCACCTGCAGACACATTGTAAATTTATAACTTAAATCAGATAGAAGTATCCCACCATTAGTGTTCTTCGTGAAAAAAGTCGTAGTCTCAAAGTGCAAAAGTACAGGTATTGTCTCTGCCTCAGGAGCTGATGGAAGGGCAAAGAGATCATTTTGATATGGGTTATGACCCATCAGATATATAATGCACATAAGTGTTTTGCCATATACACCTTCTCTGGAAACCAGGATGACTTCTCCTGGAGTTCCTGGATACCCAGCGTTTGTCAGCTCAGAAAACTTCCACAGATGTTAATGGCTCCTGTCAATACTGTGAGTGAATGGGCAGAAATTCATCATTGAATGTCTCCAGAAAGGACAAGTGCCAGTCTTGAGTCTCTCTTTTCAGTTTTTTGTACGGCTCAGGCGTGGGAGCAGAGAGCTCAATGAGTATTTGTAAGCTGCTGCTTAATATGCAGAAATGCTACATCAGGAAAATGTCTGTGAGGCTTTTGTGGCCACACCTCCTCTGTCTTGGAGTTTAGAAAGTAGTACTGTGAAAGGCAAGTCTGGAAGTGGCTTTAAACAAGTTTCCTTTGATTAGCTGACAATAATTAAAAATAACTACCTTTTCTTAATAGATGCATATTTTAAAATGTCTTCTCCGTACTCGTCAAGCGAGTAATGTAGAAGATTCTATTT